TCCCTGACAGAGAAGGCTCAATGTCTCAGAAGAACTACAATTCCTATATTTCCCAAGCATTGAGCCAGGACAGTTAAAGTGGTCTGAAACTAGATTATTTCTGGCAGTCTGTTCAGGCCCTGAGTTAATTGAGTGCGAACTATTTTTGCACTTTTGATTCAGTTTGCAGCAACTGAAGTAAGCTGAAAACAAAGACAGGATGTCAGAGGAGGAGAGAGAATCTGGGACATTTAAAAAGCATCTGAGTATTAATCAGGAATGTTTCTGCTAAATTGGGATAGTTGGAGGGTATAAAACAGTGATGGGGAACCTTTTAGAGACCAAGTGCCCAAACTGCAACCCAAAACCTGTTTATTTTTCACAAAGTGCCATATCCCTATGGCTTTCTAGTAATGAACTCTGGCAAACTCGTCGCTGGGCCACAGTGCGTGTGCCCACAGAGAGGGCTCTGGGTGCCACCTCTGGCACATGTGCCATAGGTTCACCACCACTGGTATATAAGGACCTATAGGCTGCACAGAGTCCGAATCTGTTCCAGGAAGAGTCCAGGTCCCCTGTTCACCCTCAGCCCCAGGCCCAGAAAAAGTAATATCTGGAGCTATTTTTGATCAGTGATCAGAAATAGAAGGGATTCTTTTTCTCACCTTCAGCAGACCCTTGGGGTTCTGAGTGAGAGAGGATGCTTTTGCTCTTCTGGCTCCTTTGCCATGATGGGAAGGGAACGAAGTTGTGAAGCTTGTTCCCTATTAAAATATCACAGGAATCTGCACCTAGAACCTTTATGGGAACCTGTTAATGTTAGAGAGTACAGCCCCACACATACCTGACCACATTTGATTGCTGAGGGCTACCAATAGAAATAGTGGTTTGAGAGTTGGACTAGGAACTTGGGAGACCAGGCTTTGAATCCCTGCTCAGCCACAGAAACTTAGTGGGTGACCTTGGACAAGTCACACCCTCTCAGCTTTAAGAAGAAGACAATGGCAAACCCCACTGGAACAAATCTTGCAAATAAAACCCTGTGATACCTGTTTAATTTAGGGTCACCATAAGTCAGAAATCACTTGAAAGCACATCAATAACAACAAGTGCAAAAACCTGCCTCACCTGCCCATTTCATTTCCCCACCCAATATTCTGCATGCTCATGCTGGCTAGGGGACTCTAAGAGTTATAGTATAAAAAAGTATAGGGGCTCTGATTGTGATACCTTCTGGTTTTTGTATACTTCTACTCAGTGGTCTTCCATAGCAGGACTTTGCAATGTTTTGTTAAGTAGCTTTATCTCAATGAAGTAGCCAGTGAGCAAGCTTCCTTTCATTACTTAGGCCAAAACTATTGATCTCTTTGTTCTGCCCAAATCCAGCCTGAAAGCCATTGAGTCCTGTGTACTCTTTGTTCCATAGTCTTTAACTTTTTTGAGTCACTATTCACTTCTATTTGTCCTTGGGCACCTTTGCTATACTCCTGGGTTTCAAGTCAGCTTGAAGATCAACGTAAGATATGCTTGCCTTCCAGGACTGTTCCTCATCAAAATTTCCTAGTAGCATCCTTACTCTGTTGTGTTTTTGAATCAATAGTCAAACAAGAGAATTCAGAACATTTTGGAAAGCTGCCATTTAAGGTCTTTAGTCAATCATGACCATTTAGTAATTTTATCATGTCAAGTTTTAATCTGTGAAATGTTGGAGAATATGGAACAGTCAAAGGACCCTTGCTGTTCCAAGTCATCTGATGCCTGAGGCAATTGCCTCGTTCTGCCATATGGTAGGGCCAGAGCACCTGAGCAATGTTTGCAGAGATGCCCTTCATTTCCTGAACACCGCTTGTTCTAAGTCCTGTAGGTCCATTCCTTAGTAGCTCTCTGGTACCAATCTAGATTGTATCATGCTAGCTGGGGTTTCTGGAAATTGCCATCCACAAAAGTAACTTTGCTCAGCTTTGACTTCTCCATAGTAGTAGTAGTTGTTGACTACCTTCAAGTCATTTCGGACTTATGGCAACCCTGAGGAGAACCTATCATGGGGTTTTCTTGGCAAGTTTCTTCAGAGGAGGTTTGCCATTGCCTTCCCCTGAGGCTGAGAGAGTGTGACTTGCCCAAGGTCACCCATTCGGTTTCATGGCCTAGCTGGGAATTGAACCTTGGTCTCCAGAGTCATAGTCCAACACTAAATCCACTATGCCACATGCTGGGTCTCTGCCTGCTCCTGATGCCACACCAAAGAAGTAGCCAGAAATTTCAAATAATGAATCTTTTCACAGCCCATTGTTAGTGCCCTTTTCATAAAAACTTGTTCACAGCTAGCAACTGCTGTACCCAGATTTAAGTCAAAAATTCTGTACAGTGGCTTTCCAGGCAATAGTATCAATATCTAGATAGAGGGGAAGAACTCTGAATGTTATTGTAACATCCAGGCCAACTCTGCTGTTAGGTATAGTAAGGCAGCTACACTCAGGCAGCAGAGGATGTTGGGTGGCAAAGTATAAGAGGAGAGGGTTGTATGTGCCACATGCCATCCTGATCTGTGTTCCTCATGCTAGGCTGCTGCCCTCAGGCATAGTGGAAGAAAGTCTCCCATTGTCAGTGCTGAAGTAAGAGCCTACTGTCACCATGGTTGGCTTTTCTATATGAAATGAGACAGCCATCTTATCTTTTACTTCTGGCAGCAAAATCTTTTGGGCCAACACTGGCTAATAGAATCACAGCCTTGAGACGTGTTGTTGTTGTTGTTGTTGTTGTGTGCTTTTGTTTCTGACTTACAGTGACCTCAAGGCAACCCTATCACAGGGTTATCTAGGGGCTGAGAGGGTGTGACTTGCCCATAGTCGCCCATCAGATTTCCATGGCCAAGTGGGGCCAGGAGGAATTTCAAAATGTCTTCCATTTTCAGTATGATTACGAAACAGGAATTTACATTTCTATGAGTATTTTTTGCCTTTATTTTGTAATGCTTTACATTTTCCTTGAATGGCTTACATTTTGTGCTGCCTTGTCCTCCTTTGTGGTCATGACATCTGGTCACCCTGATTTTGCTTCTATCAAAGAAAGATGAGCCAAGAGCTTCAGATTTGGCTTTCAAGGTGTTGCTGACTCTTTCACCACCAGCCTCTGGAGCCTAGACATGCAGCATAATGGAGAGAACACATTACATCAGTGCTGAAATCTCTCCACTGGCTGCCTATTAGTTTCTGGGCACAGTACAAGATGTTGGTTATGACCTTTAAAGCCCTACATGGTTTGGGTCCAACCTATCTCCGGGATCGCCTCCTTCCATACGATCCTCCCTGTGCACTTCGGTCCTCTGGGAGGAACCTGTTACAGCCTATAAGAACCAGGTTGTCGGTGACTTCCCAGAGGACTTTCTCTGCCTCCGCTCCCAGATTATGGAATGGCCTGCCGGATGAGAGCCGTCTCATTTCCACTCTTGACTGCTTTAAAAAAGCAGTAAAGATGGATCTTTTCCGGCAGGCCTTCCCTGAATAATGTCCCGGTCCAGAAGACACAGACAACGACTCTGGCCATTCGCTCCTCCAACCGCCATTGTTCAGTCGAGCTGCTATTTTAAAGAATTGTATGTTTTTATTCATTCGGTATTTTAATTCTGCATTAGTTTAATATATTTTTAAGGGCTGGGTGGGTTAGGGAATGGGTTGTTGGATCTTCTTTTAACTTGTTGCGGTTTTTAATTTGTTGTACGCCACCCCGATTGCGCTGCAGAGGGGCGGGATAAAAATAAAAATAATTATTATTATTTATTATTATTATAATAATGTGGTAGAATCTTTCATAGTAGAATAGTCTGTGCCACTTCAGTCAAGGAAGCATTGTTTATCATCTCTCTCCAATAACATCCTGCAAACCAGCTTTCAGTTTCTTTATTATATATCCATTTTAGAAAAGTCAGGAAATTATTTCTTTGAAAAATAAAACACATCAGGAAGAAAGACTCATCCTCAACTTACTTGGTTGTTATCATACCAATTTTCTCCTTGTGGGGTGTTTTTCATGAAAGAGTGATTTCATCACTTCCAGTCTGAAGTGTTATAATCCAGCCTACCATCTCAAGTCTCTTAACAACTCATTCTCACCCCATTCCACTGCATATATATATAGATAGATAGATAGATAGATAGATAGATAGATAGATAGAGACCAGATCTCTTGAACAGGCAAGTTATGAGGCTGAACTAAATTCAGGGGTTATCCAACTGTCCCAATCTGGCAAAGACAGTCTGGATTAATAAATAATTAACTTAATAAATAATAAAATAAACAATTCCCTCTGTCCCAGTTTTTCAGTTGCTTATAAAAAGAAGTCCCCTCTTCTATTTAATAGATAAGACATACTTCTAACACCAGTCCTTCCAACTGTCCCAATCTGGCAAAGACAGCCTGGATAAATAAATAAATAAATAAATAAATAAATAAATAAATAAATAAAATAACTAATTCCTTCTGTCCCACTTTTTCAGTTGCTTCTAAAATGTTACAATTTTTCTCCTCTTCTCCTTAATCCTCATCTTATTCCAGTTGCTGCAAACTGAATTAATAGCATCAACATTTGCTTGACCACACTCTAATGCTGCTTGATCACAAGTTGCCTGTTTTCTTAGGCAAGGAATACTCAAGAGGTCGTTTTGGCAATTCCTTCCTCTGAAATATAGCCTATAGCACCTGGTATTTGTCGGCAGTTTCCCATCCAAGTGCTAACTAGAGCTGACCCTGCTTAGCTTCCAAAATCAGACAGAATGTGTAGGCCCCTTTACAGTGCCTTCGAGGCCCTGTCTGCATTAACCAGGAAACTCTAGAGACAGCCCAGAGTGTCCTGGCCCTGCAATAGCTCTGTCTTGCTTCCTTTACCTGGCCTTCCCATTCCTTCAGTGCCATGTGAACTATCTGCATGGGTGCCCTGCAGAGCCACCTGTTGCATCTGCCACTGACATAGGTTACTCATTTTGAGATCAGAACAAGGCACCTGGTGATGATCACTTGCTGGGGCCCTTGTTCTGACCTCAGAATGAGCAACCTGTGGTGGATGTGCCATGTGGTTCAGTGGGACACCCGTGCAGACAGCCACCGTGGCCCAGGAACAAAAGGCTCCACATAGATCTTCCTGGAAAAGCTAGAGCAACATGCGTGTTTTTCTAAACTGGTTTAAGGCTATTCTACATTGTATGGGCTGCTTGCACCAGAAACTGGGTTTAGGATACGCATTGTCCACACAAGATAACACCAGAAGAGGGGTGTAGGATGGGTCTTTTGGCCTATGCAGGCAGGTCCTGAGCCAGCATGGCTTAGTGGTTTGAGTGTTGGACTATGACTGTGGAGACCAGGGTTCAAATCCTTGCTCAGCCATGGAAATCCACAGGATGACTGTGGACAAGTCACACACTCAGGAAAACCTCATGGTAGGTTTGCCATAAGTCAGACATGACATGAAGGCACACAACAACTTTAGTGCCTTTAGAGTATTTAGACCCTTTATACTATTTGTATAATTTCTCCATACCTCTTCCTGCATTTGCATTTCTCCTCACTGATAAATAGTCCCAGGTGTATAAATAGTCCCAGGTCTTGTATCATTCCTTGCAACAAAGGTCTAGCCCTTGATCATATTGATTGCCTCATATTACTGAAGGCAATGCTCCATTTGCCATGTGCTATGGCATTTCCTGCACTAGTTTCTGAGCATTCTTTTGGTCAGTGTGGGAGCATTTGTCAGGTTTGAGGGCAGTGGGATGTTGAATACATTTTGATTTCTACTCAAAAGTTTAAAACACCTAGGTGCTGAAACAATTTGGGGAGTAGTGTTCAGCACTTTGGATAGCTTCTTTCGAGTTTTAACTAGATTCAGAGCCTTATTGGCAATGCAGCTATAGCAACTTCATTTCATGTGGCCACCAGCCACTATTGTCTGAAGGCCAAGCAGGGCACTCTGGGGACTGCATGGATTGCAAAAAAATAAAAAATAAAATAAAAAGGCTTCAAAATACAGGTGAGGGAAATTTAGAAGAGACCAAAGATCCCACCTATTTAAAGCTGAACTACTGCTCTTGGAAACTTCCAAAAGAGGCCACACTTTTTGCCAGAAAAACTGGTTAGTTGGCTGGTTGCCTGTTTTGCAAAACAGACTTGTGAAGTTTCAAGAGGTCCCCAGAGATGCACTTTGCTGATCTCTGATTTAGGTAAAAAGCTATGGTAGAAAAACATAATACTATGTGTTACTGATGCTTTGAAATGAGCCTCAATGCCATGTGAACTGAGAGGATGTGCCCTACACAATGTTTTTCCACCCATGTGCAGACATGTATGTGCATGCAGACTAAGAAACGATGAGGTCCATCCATTTCAGAGCTCAGAGATGTTACTTTTGGTCTACAGTTTCCAGAATCCTCCAACCAGACTAACTGGGAGATTCAGGGAATTGTGGTCCATAAAAGAAACTTGTCCAAACTTGGATCAGTTCCCCTACAGAGAGATCAGACTCTTAGGAATGCCAGAGGCATGCAGTGAACCCTGAAGAATGGTGCCGCCAGCAACTCAGCCTAATTCAATTTTAACAAGGCATTCTCAGGACACAGCAGGAGACACCAACAGTGACTGCTTAAGATCAGGCTCTAGAACAGTCTTCCCCAACCTGGTGTGCCTCCAGATATTTTAGGCTTGGGCAGTAACTCCCAACAAGCACCCATTCACAAAGATGAGGGACTTTGGGAGCTGGAGTTTAAAATATCTGGATGGGCCAGGTTAGGGGAGATTGCTCCAGAAAATTTAAGCCAGTGTAGGCAACCTGTCCCCTTTAAGGGCCAAGGGACTTCAGCTCCCAGAAGCCTCAGCCATGTTGGCCAATAGTCCCATGTTGGCCAATAGCTCCTGGGATTCTGGGAGCTGAAGTCCCTCCGCCCTTAAAGGGGACAGGTTGCCTACCCCTGATTTAAGCTGTCCTTGGTCAAAAAGGACAATTGGAGCTTTGGTGACATTAGGGACAGACCAGCCACACAGCAGTAGCCTCAAGCAGCAGATTTGGAATCTGATGAACAGCAAGACGTTGTTAGTGATTTAATTTATGATAATTGTATTTTTACTTCTAGGAAGAAATACTTGCAGGATTTTCTGCTTCAGGCACAGGTTGAGCCTCCCTGAATTTCTGGAATTTCAGAATACTCCAAAATTATCCACATTATGGGTG